GCTGAGCGACTTGGAACACATAGGATATATATAAAAAAATGACATATGGATGAAGGAATGCTTTAACCTTTGTTTACTGAAAAAAATATCTTAAGCTGTGAACATTATTAAAGATGCCAAGAAATGTTTGCTTTCTCTCAAGATTCGCATTTCAATTGTTTATATATATTTTACAGTCTGTGAAATTGAATTTCAGTAATGATCACATCACTCACAATTTTACCCGACAATTTATGAACACTGGATTGATGTTATCTAATTTTTCTAAATGTCATTTCCCGCCACTGTGAGCAATATGACGGATAGGGGTCAAAGGTTGACGGCTGTTTTGATTGGATTCCTGGGGCAAGCTGCATGGGTCAGAGTGTAAAGGTCAAGGTGAGCTGATTAGCTGCCTGTGGTTTTTTTTTGTTGCGGCTTCACATCTGATGTGCAAATGTAACCAACATGTTTTTGTTTCTCTTGCTCGTATTGAAATAGGCACGGAAGGGAATTCTTAATTTGTCCGTCAAATCCACGGACCTTGTTTGTTGCTGTGCACAACGCACATGGGGCTGTCCACGTTTTCATGAGCAGAGCTCAACACGTTTCTCAATAACACCGTGGCCTTATAAGGAAACGTATAATAGGTGATGTTTTGGGCAATGGTCCGTCTTAATAGCTAGTAAACAGAGAGGCCAGAGAGTGGATAAATAAGAGTTGGAGACCGCACTGGGGCCTGGTAAGAAAAAAAAGTTCCTGATGAATAAAAATTATGAACATTTTTAAATTGGCATATGAATAGTTATATCGATGAGACCTTTTTTTGCTAGGATAAAAATGATGGGAAAAAATGGATTTACCCTTTTTCGGCAATAAAACAGGTCTTAAGCTGTTCTAACACTAAATAGATACCTATTGCAAGACATTAAGTCTGCATTAACCACACATACTTGTGGCAAAACACGCGAACAAACATGCTTTGGTAAAAAAAGTATATGGCATTGTCTTTGAAACTGATTTGCCTACTCCAGAGACAGCCTTCTTTATGGCCTTATCTCACCAGTGTGAGACCAGAGAATGCCAAAAGGCGAACAGCACAAATGCAATGCAAGTTTGAACACTTTAACACCTGTCTAATTTCCAGAAAGGGTAAAGCAAATTCGTATTGTGCCAAGGTTCGGATGTGGTTGGAACTGTGGGACCAACATTAATTCTAGATTTGAAGCTTTCGTGACTGCAAGGATTCATACTCTTAGTTCTTTCGGTAAAGTCACGTAGGTAAAAAATGAAATTAAAATTAATAAAAAATAAAATAAAAATCACGACGTTTCGGAGGCAACACAAGTCTCCGTCATCAGGTGGGACCGTCACAGCTATATTTACTAATCTTGATTTACTAATCTAGCTGTGACAATTTACTAATCTAGCTGTGACGGTCCCACCTGATGACGGAGACTTGTGTTGCCTCCGAAACGTCGTGATTTTTATTTTATTTTTTATAAATTTTAATTTCATTTTTTACCTACTTGACTTTACCGAAAGAACTAAGAGTATGGACCAACATTAGCCCAACATTGGTCCAAAGTTGAGAATTACTTTTGCTGTGCTTGACCACTACTGCCAACACGGCCACCATCCTAGAATCTCACCCAGATCTGGAAGAACGTTGGCGAACAGAGTGGAACAATGAGGACGTGCAGAATGAACACCTCCTAGTTTAAGTCCCAAACATCGCATCTCCTGGTGTTGAAATCCTCAAACACACCAGTGGTGGAACCATCAACCGCATCAGAGCGTCAACAGGCCGATGCGTACATCTCCTCCGCAAACGGAAGATTCAAGACACAAGCCACAGAGCGACTCGTAGCCACGCAACCCAAACTATGGATCGTACAGTAAACCCGTAGAGACGCACAGAGATGCACTGAGACTCCGAGGAACACACCACGCTTCCGATGTGCAAGTTTGGCTACGTAAGGTGCTAAAGAAGTTAAACATAAATTTAGATTTAAAGCTTTCGTGACTGCAGGGATTCATCTTCTTGGTTCCTTCGGTAAAGTCACGTAGAAGGGAAATAATAAAATAATGAAAATAAAACATAATAAAATAATTCTCACGACGTTTCTGTCTGTCGGAAAGACAGCGTCTGAAATTCAGACTGCTGTCTCCCCGACAGACCTGTTCTTCACCTGAGGACGGCTGCTTGCGTTGTGGCCGAAACGTCGTGAGAATTATTTTATCATATTTAATTTTTATTATTTTATTATTTCCCTTCTACGTGACTTTACCGAATGAACCAAGAAGAAGTTAAACATAGAGACTCGGAGATAACATTAACGACAAGCCACGGTGCGATTATGGCCATGCAACTTAAACTTGTGGACTATTTAGTAAACCGGTGGTCTGCGCTCATTAAAAGGAAGAGGAGGAACGGCAAAACGACACGAACTATCTCCCTCCTGAAGCCCTCTCGTCCTGGCCAGCAGCAGACCTCGACATTGGCTTTTAGCTCCTAAACTGTCTGCTGCCATACGCAAGAATAAAATCGTGAAAATAATTGTTTGAACATTTTTTGTAGAGGCCGTGATGGACAGAACGGTCGTGGAATGTGCTTGTAAACTGAGAGCGACGTAAAAAAAAACAGATAGGTGTGCTGCTGCTGCTGCTGCTCGTTTTGCAACACAAGCAAGTATCTGCTGTGGCCACATGGACTTCCCTGGTTCCTCAAGCACATTCAAGCACGGGCCTGTTTGAACGTTCGGCGGCAGCCAACAAACGGTCGGTGTTACGCCGACTTTTGCGGGTCGGTGTCAAATCGACGCACGGGTCAGTGGGCCACACGAACGGCAACGGTAACGATAGCTGGCAGCTCCGTTACCCAAACTCCGCAACAGTCGTTAGCCGTTGCCCCTGCCCTCATCCCCGGTCACCCCGCGACGTGGCACCACGCTTTTGGCGCGAGCCCGCGGACGGACGCGGCACCGTGGGCCCCGTCGATAAAAGTTTCCTTCACTCGAGCCCCCCGCGGCAAGAAGTGCGCCGGAGAGGTTTCATCCGCCCCCTTAGCGGAAAGAGCAAAAGTTACAAGTTCGTAACGCGCGGCGCAAGTTCCCGTAGGTCCGCAGGCAGCACGCAGCCAAAGCGTGCGAGGTTGGCGGGGGGGGGGGCGGAGCGTGTTGCGTTGCGCGATCGCGCGGAGACAAACGGCGGATTCTTGGAATGTTTGCGCCGGTGTTGACATCCCCCTTCGGCTCCGCCGAGATGAGTCCCCGGGAGGGCGCGTGTGCACGGAAAAACACCGTGGGGGAAAAAAAGAGACGTGGCGAGGTTGTCGACGAGCGGCCGCGAGCGACTGTTTGCGTCGAAGCGCTTCCGTGCGTGTCCACCGAGAATCTTCGACTCAAAATTAACGGGGGAAAGTCATCGTGACGTGAGGGGCCGTCGTTGCCTCTGCAAGATCGCCAGCTCACCGGCATTGATTCAAGCAAGCCTGACCCTGCCGATGGGGGCACAGTTGTTTTGAAACCAGCGCAGAATTGTTCCTTGTACGCAATCAATGCTGCATTGGTCAACAGCTTGTGAAGGCTGTGCCGGCCAGTTTGTGTTGAACTTTTGACCCTCAGGCTGTCGGCTATCCAACCATCGCTTTTTTTAATATTACAACACACACAGCCTTGCGGTGGGCAACCGACACGATATTCAAAGTCACATCACCACCACTTGTTGTTTTTCGCGATGATGTTTTCCCATTTTTGTTTCGTACGCTTGACACGCTGATGGCACAGAGGCAATCGATGGAGAGCGGCAGTGCGGCGGGGTTAGTGCACCGCACTACAAATTGGGCGCCCGAGTTCCATTCCTGGCCAGGGCTAACATCTAACATCAGCTGTGAGTGATGTCTTCAACCCCGGTCCTGGACCTCCAAACAACCCCCCACTCGTGCCCCACCACCCACACTGACCAGCATGGTGAAGTATGGTCAAACGATACCGACAAGCAATCACGGCGTAGGGAGTCCCTCGTCCAGCAATGGATTGACAGCGTGGGGTACACGTGCAGAATAATTATCAATTTTAGCTGCTCAATGTATAGCTCATGAGGGCAGTGTTACATTGGCTGCCCGTTTGTATATTCCGTGCGTTTAGGAAGCGGGTGAACCAGAGGTCGCAATCGGGTCAATACCCGTACCCTACCCGATACCCGGCTACCCGTACCCGGCCGGGTATGGGTACGGGTACCCGTTTGTGACCCTGGTGCAGCGGGGTACGGGTAGGCCGTGAGTCACTGGTGAGTAACCGTTTGTCACTCATTTCCCAACGTCTTGTCTTTTCTCACAATTCAAGTTCCTAGAATCAACCCACCCGCGCCTGCAACATGGCTTCATCCCAGAGGTCGCAATCGGGTACCCGATACCCGTACCCTACCCGATACCCGGCTACCCGTACCCGGCCGGGTACGGGAACCCGCTTGCGACCCTGATGCGGCCGGGTATGGGTACGGGTAAGGAATCAGAACCCATTTGCGACCTCCGGTGTGAACGCAACAGGCAATTTTGTCGACATAAATGTACCCCGTGGCCTAACCAAAAAACAAGTATTGACCTAAAAGACGCATTGTCTGCTGATCTATTCTGTTACTTGTATTTCCTTTGTATGTTGTCCTTTGCATGTTGAATTTCTTTTGCACCATACGTAGTCAACCATGCCAATCGGAGGTGGGAGGTAGTGGTTAGCGCGCTGTGCTACGAACCTAGCGATCCGAATTTGATTCCCGCTCACGGTCATCCAGTAACGATAATATGAACCAGTCCTGGGACCTCCCCTAGGCCGACTCAGCCTCAAACATCGCCACTGTGTAGACAAAATTGGACAGGTAGGCGCCGTGCCGACCACCCACACCCCTCGTGTGCTGTGCCGGCATTCATAGGTGCTTGCTAGCTAGCGCTTGCCTCAACAGTCCGTTAAGATTACACGGGGAGGATCTTTAATTTTCTTTGACGGTGGCAAGGGCCGGCATACCTGGGTTCGCTAGGGCAGGGGTTGCGAGTGCGGCCTTCGTCTGCAGGGGTGGAGGTTCGACGAGGAGGCGGACGAGGGGAGCGGCCGAGGAGTGGACGCGACAGATGGCGGTCCCGTGACGTGACCCCTGACCCTCGACTCCGCTGTTTGGGTGGGGGCGACCAGAACGGCAACAAAGATGAGTCGGAGGGCGGTGGAGAGGGTTGGAGTTGGAGGGCATCATGGGGGGTGGGGTGGGGGCAGGCCTGGGGGTGGGGGGGGGGCGGGGGGTGGGGGGCATTCATGGTAATTGCGTGCACCCAGTGGGTTTATAATCATATTAAAATACTGATTGTCAAGCCTTCTCCCATAGACCTTCTCTATTATTTAGCTTCAAGGCCTCGCAGCTCCTCGACGTGTATGCAAAAATGCCGCCGGTTTTATGAAAAGAGCTGCAAATCAGACATCTGTTTACCCCTCGGGGGGGGGGGGTGGTGGGGGGGTGCTCGTGTCAAAAGGTATTGTGCGTGTGTTTTTGTAAGAAATGCGATTGTGGACATTGGCCATTGTGCATATTGAGCGGGCAGCGGTCGGTATTGATGGACGCTCATCGGTCTCACTGGGGCTGCAGAGTTCTCTCCTCTGTCCAGGCTCGAAGCCCTCCCTCTCTGGGGCAAAGAAGCGTTTGGGTTGCAGTTCTATATGGAAATTGCCCCGCAGAGTAGGCAAAGACACCTACTTGTTTACCGGCAAATCTTCAGCTCTTTTTCAGAAGAGTCCTGCGCTAAGTTATTTTTTTTCTTTTCTCCCACCCTGGGGTTGCTATGCATATCTCAATTCAGTAACGTACGGTGTGAATTTAGTTGTTTTTTATTGCCAAGTTTGGGGCCATGACGCCAGCGCTCAGGTGGCCTTCCTCTCCTCCGAGCGACTGTCACGGGACCTTCAACGCGAGACCGAGGGCGCGTATTTGACGTCCAATGCACCTGCAGCGGCAACCATGGCGGCTCATCGGATTGGAACAATGAACCTTTGCGACGGGCGGCAGAGGCACTACCCACGGGCGTGTCACCTACCAGAGTGCGGCCCTGCAGTTGCCTTCTCTCGCCACTGCTGGTGCAAAGGTCTCGAGTAGAGGGAGCTTTGGAGAGCCCCTCCAAGGAGTGTTTGGGCCTACCAATCGACTAACTGTGGTGTTGTTTTACACGTTGGCTTTCGCCACCAATCTCATCCATAATGCAGGTTTTTTGGGTTAGATCGCGTTAATACAGGGTGCTTCAAAAAGATGTTAACACTTCTGAGAATTTGCAACAATACCACAAGAAATGTGGAGACCATATCAGGCATGTGTTGACAATGATGATACATTTGTTATCATGTTACAGTGTAGTATTATCCGTTCTTTTTCCATTAAAAACGATAGTCCCACACAAGGGTAAACAATTTTTCGAAGCACCCTGTTTATTAATGTGTCATTAAACCCGCCACCACCCAACACAGCCAATTAGTAAGGTTTGTCACTCGCACCGTCATGAAGCTAGTTGTAATTACTGGCGAAACGTCGTACTCAGATTGTAAATGTTGTGGATTTGCTCTCCAACACACCGGTTAGTGCTGTACTAGTGACGAATTGGCACGTTCTGTTTACGTGACAAACCTTACTAATTGGCTGTGTTGGGTGGTGGTGGGTTTAACGACACATTTATATTTATGTGACCGATTCCAAGAACCTCGATTATGGATATTGCTCGCGAAAGCCGACGTGTTGCTACGAAAGAAGTTCAACATACATGAGATCACTCGCATCATTTATGATAATGTAGATTGTTCATGTTGTTGATGTTGTTGTGGCCCCCGACCTTCCCTGGGCCCTAGCCCACCGGACGTTCACCCCCGTTACCTGTGCCGGCTGCCGGATCCGGGGACGGGTGAATGTTGCTGTTGTTGGCTCGCGAGTCGGCTGTTGTTGTCGTTGTCGTCGTCGTCGTTGTGGCGGTGGCGGCGGCGGCTGCTGCTGTGACGACGGTGGTGACGGTGGCGGTGGCCGTGCTGTGGCGTCCGACGCCGGGCGTCCCCGTGCGGTACTCTCTCTCCGCTCGCACGTTCCCGTTGAGCCGGTCGCAAATGTCTTCTACCGACGCTGCGGCACGGCACGGGCGCACGCGCGGGGGGAAAATAAAAACAGAGAGAGATGAACATCGCTGGCGAGCGTGGACGATTATCAAGCTGATTCTGCCAATGCCCAAAGCCGGAGACACAGCGGTCGATGCCGCTGGCGGTAGAGAATCAAAGGGGGACGGCACTGGCGCGTGGCGTTACGAGTCGGTGTTGACCTTGTTGACCTTGGGGAGAAAGATTGAAGGTAAATTACAATTCTCTTCTTTTGATGGGTGCCCGAAAAACAGTTGTCTGTCGGGCACCACGGTGAGATCCACTCGCGTTATTTTGAGGACCCTCTGCATTATTCACCTCTGTTCTGCTGAACTGAAAGGACGTGAGCGTTCATGAATTAAACAAAGCTGCTTGGTGACACTGCGTCGCCAGTGGTGCACATGCACGAATAACAAAGTGGCTCGACGCAGACCGTCAATAACACCGCGTCCGCTGAAGGAGCGCAGGCTCCAGTGTTCCACGATATAATTGTCATGAAATACCACGCACGTTTGACAAATATATATTATAAAAAAATCCTCTTTGAGTGCCCATTGTAACGCGGTAAACACATACAATATATGCCAATTAGACGCAGTTTTTTTTATATATTTGTATAAAAAGAGTTTGGCTACAGACCACGGTCATAAGTGACACTGTGCATTCTCTTTGGTTTTTTCAGGTAAAGTCACGTAGGTTAACAAGGAAAACAAATACATTAAATCACGACGTTTCGGAGGCAACACAAGCCTCCGTCTTCAGGTGAAACAGTGATTTTTACTGTGACAGGTTCCACCTGAAGACGGAAGCTTGTGTTGCCTCCGAAACGTCGTGATTTAATGTATTTGTTTTCGAAAAAACCAAAGAGTGTGGATCCTTACAGTCACGAAAGCTTCAAATCTATAACTGTGTGCATTGTAGATCTCTGTCCGCGTTGCTTGAGAATTCACTGCGGAGTTTCACACCAAGAGAGAGGCGATTGTTATTTTTTAATTCTCAAGCGAACAAGTGAATTCGTTTCCTCTGCAAGAAAAAAAAACGAATGCAGGAAACACTCCACCCAGGATGGTTAAATCCCCTCTCCCCCCTACTCGCTCACCAACCCCATCATCTTAGTGTGCAAATGCCCCCCTGCCCCTTGCCTCCTATGCCCCCCCCCCCGCCCCACACCCCCCCCCCCCCATTAATAATGCATTAACTGCATTTTAATTTAGGCCTTGACAAATTCCCAGCGGACTCTAAAGCACAGCAGCAGAAGAAGAAAAAAAAATCCTAAAAAACAAATTGCCTGCGCCGTCATTCAACCGTGGCACTTATTCATTTTAAGCGTCTCTCAAGGAAGTGATTTTTCGGGACAGTTAGCGGTGCATCAGCACATTGTTGTGGGTGAGGGGTTTTCGATTGAAGCCCCCCCCATCACTTCACCCCACCACCCCCCCCACCACTTTATCTATGGAGAGGCGTCTTTGCCAGGGAGCCACGGTGGCGAGATGTTAAATCCCTTGCCTGGTATACAGGAGGTTGTGGGTTCGATCTCAACCCTGACGCCAGTATATTTGGAGTTTGCATGTTCTCCCCGTGGTTGCGTGGATTTTTCTCCGGGTCCTACGGTTTTCCCCTCCACATTTAGAATCAACAACAACGCGCGTTCAGAGTATATGGCTGCTATAAATGTCCGCGTGGTAAGCCACTTCGTTGAGCTATCATTTGTGGCCAAGTCGCTTCTGGCAAAGAAGCTACATAGCTCAGTGGGCCTTAGCTGGTAGAATAAAAAATAGTGTAGTAAATAATTTAGTTTAGGTGCCGCACGGCTGAGACTCGGAACGGCAGGGGTTTTATAAAGAAGAGATCTTAAAATGGGACGTTTTTGCAGCTTGGCGTGTTAATTCAATACCCGGGCATAACCCCGATCACTCCCACCGCGCTCGGGCAGCGAGTTTTCCAGATGCCTGGAATTCCTCGGTTTGCCGAAGACGTACAATTGTTCAGATTGTTACGCAACTCACAAGGTTAGATTTGTCGGTTGCATAATCTCTGCAGCACACCCGATGAATAAAAACATTTATGGGCCATTTACTTTCAGTGAAGTGGTTTTTATTTCATATCAAGCTCGATGCATTCACAATTTATTTTGTTCGTGGAATTGTTTTAGGGACCCTCCGATGCGCTCTGTCTCTGGAAGGCGCTGGGGGGGGGAGGGGGTAGGGCCAGGAGGGAATTTCACCCTCAGGTCGTAGGTCATAGGTTGGCAACGCGCAGACCTGACCCCACTCCGCGGTTAGTCGTCCCTCCCAGGGTCTCGGGTTAAATATAGAAAGGAAGTTGGCACTATGAGGACGGCTCTTTCGCATTATGACCCCCATATCCGAGCTGCGAGCATTTGCGCCGGACGTTAATTTACGAATAGACGGGCAGAGCTGCCGACAGTGGCGTGATGGCGACCGACCGACCGACCCCTCGGTTCGATATTTCCTGGTGTAGTTTTTTTTTTAACGAACGGCTTCACCGCACTATGAGACATCTCCTTTACCAGTGGCAAAATATAGTGATAGGTGTTTACCCTTTCAACTGGTACAAAAACTGACACCTTTATACAAGGCATCATGTTTGCAATAACCACAACACAAGCAGTCAAAATGCAAACAAAAATAAACAACCTTGCTAATGATATGCACTGTCCTTGAAGTTGATTGGTCCACACCCGAGACAGCTTTTCTTAGAGCCTAGTCTCCATTGGTGTTGGACCAGATGATGCCTTGTATAAAGGTGTCAGTTTTTGTACCAGTTGAAAGGTTAAAAACCTATCACTATATTTTGCCACTGGTAAAGGAGGTCTCAGTGTAAATGCTTACCCCGAGCTCTCAATACTCTGATAGTGCGCTGTTCTTTAGGTTGTACGCCTTTTGGCGTCATCTGGTCCAACACCAATGGAGACTAGGCTCTAAGAAAAGCTGTCTCGGGTGTGGACCAATCAACTTCAAGGACAGTGCATATCATTATCATTATCAGAGTTGTTTATTTTTGTTTGCATCTTGACTGCTTGTGTTGTGGTTATTGCAACCATGATGCCTTGTATAAAGGTGTCAGTTTTTGTACCAGTTGAAAGGGTAACAACCTATCACTAGGCTTCACCGCAGTTGTGTCGGTCGGCGGGTCGTGCGTGGTGGGGTAAAGTGTGGGTAACTCCACAATACAGGTGTTTTTTGGGGGGTTAGGTCATATGATGAAGCTAGTTGTAATTAGTTGTAATTACTGGCGAAACGTCGTACTCAGATTTTAAATGTTGTGGCTTGTCTCTCCAACACACCGGTGTTGCTGTCCTAGTACAGCGGGTTTAACGACAGACACATTTATATATTTACGCGATATAAAACCAAAACTAAACCCTGTATTATGGATGATATTGGTTGCAAAAGCCTACGTGTTAGTGTGGGTACTACCACCTCTTTCAAGACATCTTGCCAGCATTGGAGGGTCGGCTAAAATATCCTCCCATGTCGAGGAGCTGTCTAGAATGTCCCTCCGGTGGAGTATCTTCCACCAGCAGTGGCATGAGCGTGTACTTGCAGTGCTGCGCCTTACGAATACGCGTATTCACACGTAAACGCAATCACAGAGCACGTCCTCAGGTGTAAACCAGGTGCACATCGGGAAAAGGTCTGCATAGCGACAAACGCAAAGAATGCATCGTATGACCCAGAAATGTGAATCACCGCGCCACTGTTAAGATTATCCATTGTGCGCTGCCGCTTTGGTTACTTTCATGAATTTTCGTAAGCAAGCAGCAATTAAGCCTCTCACGGCCCGTTTACAAGAAGAGACCGCCGTTTGTTGAGAATTCAGACGTTAGGCAACGTCTAGCTCACGCAACGCGCTCGCACGCTAAGCGCACTTGAGATGATTTATTCTGAAACTTTTTTTATCACTGAAGGATTCGTCTGTTAATCAACAGCTCCCTGTCAAGTAAACATGGAACGTTGCACCGATATTGTGCCGACGTCGGTCCAACAGTTGTGCCGACAGTTGTGCCGACATTGGTTCAGTTTTCTTGGTTCTTTCGGTAAAGTCACGTAGAATGGAAATAATAAAATAATAAAAATTTAAACATTATAAAATAATTGTATTACTTTATTATTTCCATTCTACGTGACTTTACCGAAATAACCAAGAAGATGAATCCCTGCAGTCACGAAAGCTTTAAATCGAAATTGGTTCCATTGTTCTAACCGTTTGTCGAAGTTGCCCCAAAGTTCGCAAGTTTACTCGGGTAATAAATAGGTAATCGTTCATAAAACGCAAATTTAAAACTGTACGGTACATCGTTAACCGTAATTTTAGTTGTAATGTCATTCTAATCAGGTCCCCATAGTGTGAAGCAGTGTCGTATTATCCAAGAGGCTACAGTAGGCATTGTGTCTAGGGTCTACGAAAACTAAAGGGCGTAAGAGAACATATTTTGACCATGTTTTTGTTTGTTTGCATGTATGTATGATAAAAAAAACACTTGAATAAATATCTTTACATAGCAAGGCTAGGCACAGAGTGTATATACAAATAGGCAGAGTAATGGCAATCGGTTTTTTTTCATAATGTGAGAGAAATGAAACCCTGAAGATGAACTTTTAGAGATTTTGTTTTCATTGCAAAATTAGCAAATAACATCTTCAAATGATGATTTTCGCACAATCAAGCGGGTGACGGCGGCGGTAGTAGTAGCATGGGCAAGCAGCGTCAACTGTATAAAGTTATCACTGAAGGCCCACTAAACAGAAGTGTCTAAGGGCCTACAAGAACCTTAATCCGGCCGTGGTGTAAAGTGGCAGTCCAACTCTTTATCCCAACTATCTGTCTGGCAGCAGGCGTGACTCGCTTCGTCTCTACTTGTATTAAACGGAACAAACAATGCCGAACGACAAATGCCCTCTCGGGCCCCCCTATAGTAGAAAGCCACTGGGAGCTATTCACTTTTAAATCAAGGTTTCACAACTA